AGCATTGCGATAGTAGAGTAATAAATTTTAGTATACCGTATCGAAAACCCTTTTGTAAGACACGAAATATAATAAAGTGTCAGTAGATTCGCTTTAACTTCTTTCGCTCCAAGTTAGATTAGCGTACCTTTGATACAGATAGTGCCAGTAGGATGCGCCACTAGGGTGCATGTCCGGGTCTCGATGCGTAGCCACCTCCTCGTGGTGAGACCTGGTAATTGGTATCGTTTTCCAAAGAAACATCTTTGGGAAACGATACCAAGCTAAGAGCTACGCACAAAGTTTAAGATATTTCCTATCTCTTGTAAATTTTCAATGTTCTCTTTGAACTATGAAAATAAAGAGCGGGCAATATCTATAGAATTAATACATAAATCGAGATAAATCAAGGTAAGTGTTTAAGGTAAGTACTGCAAGGTAAGTATAATGTACAAATTTCATTATTAATAACAAATTAATATCGTGAATAATAAATTGTGCATAGCGTGAATTTATAATAAAAGTAAAAAATTAATAAATTATTGGTCATTACTTGAATCTATAACGTACTAATGTTAAAATATACCTACAATTTGCAAAAGGATTATAAATTATTACATTTATTCCTAATAAAAAATTGCTCACAATGTACATTTATAAAACATGTGAAAAAATTACTACACTATTGACTATTACTATTACATATAACATCTATGTGTTAAAGTGCCTATAATTTACAATCTATAATTTGCAGAAATTTGATAAATTGTTACACTTGTTGTTAATATCAAATTAATATTGCTAGTAACAAATTCTCTGTAACGTATATTAAAGATAAAACTCAAAAATATTAATAAATTTTCGGTTATTACTTGACAAGTATCAAACTAATGTTAAAATGTGCCTATAACTTGGAAAAGATTTATTAATTAATACACTTATTGTTAATAACAAATTGTTCACAACGAAAATTTATAGTACAAGTGGAAAAATTACTAAATTATAGGTTATTACTAGTATATATAACGTATTTGTGCAAAATTTGCATAAAGCTGATAAATTTCTTCACTTATTGATAATAACAAATTAAAATTGATAATAACGAATATTTTACAACGTATATTAACGATAAAAGTCAAAAAAGTTAATAAATTATTAGGTCCTACATAAACAAAGAACATATTCGTGTTAAAATGTATCCATAACTTACAAAAAGTTAATAAATCATTAAATTTATTGCTAATAACAAATTAAAATTGTTGATAACAAATAGTTTGCAAAGTATATTAACGATAAAAGTCAAAAAAGTTAATAAATTATTAGTTATTACAGCGAAAAAGTAACTTTTAAAGGAATCGGTAAAGTTCGGAAATTTTCGCCGATCTTCGGCCGGACGCCGCTATATAAGGGGCCCGCGTGAAGGCTCAAGCCAGTTGTCGTTTCAACACTTCAACTTCGGAAGGTCCGCGTTAATATTCTTTCTTTTTGTTTCAGGTTTTAATTATCTTTCAGATTCTATTTCATTTATTCTAGATTTCATTGCTTGTGCATTCGAGTACTTTGTACAATATACGAATGCTTCGTCGTTGGTTTACTTGTATATCATCGTTGGTTATATCAATGGCTATTCAGTGGCCATTGTCCACTCTCTTAAATAATTTAACGATAATTTCTTCTTTCAGATACTAATTATCTTTTCTTTCAGGTTCTAATTATTTTTCTTCTTCCAGATTTTATTTCTTTCATTCTACTTGTCTCTTTGATTCAGCATTCGAGTATTTCGTACAATATTCGAATGATATTATATATGTTTATTTGTATATCATCGTTGGCTGGATCCATGGCTATTCAGTGGCTATTGTCCACTCTCTTAAATAATTTAACGATAATTTCTTCTTTCAGATACTAATTATCTTTTCTTTCAGGTTCTAATTATTTTTCTTCTTCCAGATTTTATTTCTTTCATTCTACTTGTCTCTTTGATTCAGCATTCGAGTATTTCGTACAATATTCGAATGCTTCGTCGTTGGTTTATTTATGTCTCATCGTTGGCTAAATCTTTCCTTTCACAAATTTTACGACTTCCGTTCGATTTGTTTTCGTTAGAGCGTTCGAGTATTTCGTATAATACTCGAGCGCTTCCTCGTTGGTATGTTTATATCTCACCGT